GTGTAAATATTCAAATTTTGAGTTTTTTTTCATAAGGATATTAAGATATATCCACTAACATTCAACTAACATTATTTTTGGATCATCGAAGCAGCAGTTTCCATACGATTGCAGAGGTCAAGCATCGTTGGATTTGATACGAAATTCGATGGGTGATCGCTTAGAAAAATAAAGAAATTAATTCCTAATGAGGGAGAGAGCGTGTTTTTTTAAATTATAATTTTGTCGTGCGTATTTCGGAAAATGTTGCAAATAATATTATTTTAGGAATAAAACAGATTTAATTAATTTTTTATAAGACATTTATTTTGATGGTTCCCTTTGAGCATTATATAATCTTTAATTGGGTGTTATATTCATATTGACGGTCCGAAATTACACTCAAATTTGAATATATTTTGAAGTATTTAACATTCAAATTTGAGTGTTCTTTTGAATGTTTAATGCCCAAAATTGAGGGTTTTTTTTCGTAAGGACTCACGGCTTTTTTTTTCAAGTTTCCATATTAAAATAATTATTTGATAATTCCCTTACGAAAAAAATCCTCGATTCCCTTACGAAAAAATACTCAAGTTTGGATTAAGATTCACTGCTATTAATCCCAGCAAACACAAATATATAAATTGAAAATAAAAGTTTAGAAAGGCTACTGAACCAAATAACAACAAAATAAATGTATACATATAAGAAACAAATATAATTATCATGATCTAACACAAATAACAAATAACAAACGTCGTTTCGAGCCCGATCGGGTTATCTTCAATGTTAAAAATAAACATAATTGAAAAGAACTAAATTAATATATTTAAATTAAACAGGTCAACTGGTAAAATAATACAATATAAATGGTCAGTAGAATCGCATCCTGTCATGAATGTCCTGTCGTGAATGTGATATTACGTCAACGATATAGCGTCAACGATATAAAAGTTAGATATCGAAATAATAAAAATTCATATTGGTGTCAAAATGTGCAAAAAAATTCACAAGCATCATAAAGTTAAAAATTCACATTAAAATCTATAAAAAATCTATTGAAAATAAAAATTATACCATTATATGATGCATGATAAATATATAACTAATAAAATTAGATAAAGTTAGTCAAGGAAATGTTTCACACTTGTAGTTAAAACATTTCTTTCATAAATGAATCTGCGGCGCATCCATATTCAACATTTTAGCGTTCATTCTCAATCATAAAGATTATTAACTTTTAAGTGATTTTTGCATTAAATTTTGAAAATGACATTCAAAAGTTTAAGCCATTTAAAATTTACACTCATCTATTCTCTGAGCGTCATGATCGAGTAAACCGCGATTGGTTGTCACCAAATTCGATGTATAGTACGGTGTATACTATATACACCAAACTATTCATCGAATTTAATGATTACACCCAACTGACATCTCATTGATGATCAACACTCAAACTCAATATTGAGTTTACATCAAGGCAACACCGAATATTCATGGTCACTCTCATACCCAACATTGATGCTCATTAATAATAAAGGCTTAAGTGTCACCTAATGTTGACGGTCAAATTCTCAACGTACGCTCAATACTGACAGTTAACACTCAACTTTGATGATAAACACTAAATTTGAGTGTTAACACAAAAATTTAGGGTTTTTTTCGTAAGGGTAGACACTCAATATTGAGTCGTTTGAGTGTTGACTATCAATGTTGAATATCGGTTGGGTGTAACCATTAAATTCGGTGAATAGTTTGGTGTATACACCATACTATACACTGAATCTGATGGTAAAACCCAACGTGATTTATTCATGACACTCAATAGATGAGTGTAAATCTTAAACGGCTTTAAGTGCTATTTTCAAAATTGAATGTAAGAGTCATTTGAATGTTAATGTCTTTATGATTGAGAATTAACACTGAAATGTTGAATATAGATGTGCCGCAGATTCATTTATGAAAGAAATATATTTTAATATATATACGGGTGAAACATCTTTTTGACAAACTTTATCTAGGCTACGTTTGAAAACATCCGCGTATCCTCACGTATTGTTTTATCCTTGTTATTATTCAATGTAAAACAAGGATAAGATGAAACACGATGTACTCAGATGATGTTTTCGAACACAGCCTAGATGAATTAAATTTGTCAAAAAGATGTTTCACGCTAAAGATGTTGAACGCCCTATTAAGATGTATCATAGTTATATACATCCACTAAGATTCAGTATTCTTGGATCATCGAAGCAGTTCTTGTACGATTGCAGAGGTTGTTAAGTATCATTGAGGTACGAGATTAGATGGGTGATTGCTTAAAAAAATAAGGAAATTAATTTTCAAATGAGAGAGAAAGCATTTTTTTTAATTATAATTTTATCGTGTCTATTTCGGAAAATTTTGCAAATCAATAATATTGTTTTAGCAATAAAATAGATTTAATTTATTTTATATAATAAAGCCATTGTTACATCCAAGCTCCTAGGTCCTTTACTTTCAATAAAAAGAATTAGGAGGGAGCCAAGTAAGGACAACTAACATCGCTCTTATGGTTATCGCTCTGAGGCGGGTGTCACAAGTCGGAAACACTTGATTAGGTCCCAGATGTGGATTAGTGTCGATATTATCCAATTCGAGATTGTGCCTCTGTCGGTCCTCTTTTAGATCAAGGAACTTAATCCCAATTCTTTTGACCAGGGATTGAATTTTTATGATCTTTGTCAAGGCGCAGGCAATCGGAAGGATGGCAAAATAAAATTTAAGCAATCATTTAGATATGTATATATATGAATATGTATATTGAATATATATATTAAATTAAATGCTAACTTTGTTTAGACATTTGTATATAGATATATAGATATGGATGTACACTTTATAAACTACAATTACTGTGTGTGTGAGACATACATGTGTTGGTTTTACAAAAATCACTGCTCGAAATAAATACATAGATTTTTGTGTATCTGTATGTGTATTAAAAAGAGGGAGTGAAACTTCTTATAGATTCGATAAGATATTCAAGTGATTGGAATATCATAAGACCTGTTATTTTTCGGAGGGACTGGAGAGTAAGAGGGAGCAGAAGGTTCTGAGTTTTAGAAATTATCGAGGGTAGGAGAATAGGAAGGGAAAGGAAATTCAAAATTCAAGGAAGGCTCCGAAGATATATTACTGAGAAGATATATTACTTACCAACAATCCAACTGTTGGTTGGATTGTCAGAGATAAGGTCTACTACAGGAACGTCAGAGGAAGCTCGATTTTGATATTTCTGGTGCCAATGAGCCCTTCTAAATTGATGTGGGCTTGAGGGGAGATGAATTGCCCGATCTGTATCCGCGTAATCGGAATGCTAGCTCTTCTAAATTTTTCGAGCTTGGCACGCTTCTTGTGTCTTGCTTTGTGTTTATTTTGCCAAAACATCTATTAAAATTTTCTCTCGTTACTGCCCAAGATAGATAATTAGAAGAACATAGAAGTGAAAGATAATTCCGAAGAGAAGGAAGGGGGAGATAGATTTTTCAGAAGTTATCCCTTATGAAAAAAAACTCTCAATTTATTGTGTTAACACTCAAATTTAGGTGTTCACCACAAAGTTGAGTGTTGACCGTCAACATTAGGTGTCACTTAAGTGTTGAGTATCAATGTTATGTGTCAGTTGAGAGTGACCATAAATATTCGGTGTTGTTTTGATATGGATTCAATATTGAATGTTAAGCATTAATGTTGGGTGATAGTTGAGTGTGACCATGAATATTCGGTGTTGCCTTGGTATAAACACTTAATATTAAGTTAAATGTTGATCATCAATGTTGAGTGTCAGTTGGGTGTGACTATTAAATTCGGTGAATAGTTTGGTGTATACATTATACTGTACACCGAATTTGATGGTAATACCCAATTGCGGTTTACTCATGACACTCAATAGATGAGTGTAAATTTTAAATGGGTTAATAACTTTTGAGTGTCATTTTTTAAATTGAATGTAAATGTTAATTTTTATAATTGAGAATTAATGCAGAAATGTTGAATATAGCCGCCATATTCATTTATGAAACAACATTTTAATACTATACGCAAGAAACATTTTTTTGACAAACTTTATCTAGATTGCATTCAGAATATCATCCGAGTGCCCCTACGTATCGTTTTATCCTTGTTGTCCAATATGAAAGAAAGATAATATAAGGGGCACCCAGATGATTTCCAAACGCAGCCTAGATAAAGTTTGTCAAAAAGATGTTTCACACAGTCAACATCAAAGATGTTGAAACCCCATTGAGATATATGACCATTATATACCAACATTCAGTGTTCTTGGATCATTGAAGAAGCAGTTCTCATACGATTGTAATGGTCAAGCACTGTTGGATGAGATACGATATTGGATGGGTAATCACTTAGACAAATAAAGAAATTAATTCCCAATGAGGGAGAGAGCGTGTTTTTTTAAATTATAATTTTGTTGTGTATATTTCGGAAAATGTTGCAAATAATATTATTTTAGAAATAAAACAGATTTAATTAATTTTATATAAGCCATTTATTTTGATTTTATATAAGCCATTTATTTTCTTTGTGCGTTAACCTTCAATTGACGGTTTGCAATTACATCCAAATTTTTTGATCGTTTTTGAAAGTGTTTAACACCCAAATTTGAGCGTTCTTTTTGAGTGTTTAACGCCAAAAATTGAGGGTATTTTTAAGTAAATGTTGTGGGGGAAGAGTTGTATGAGTCTAAGCAGGCTAAAAATCGTGAAGCGGTTTAGATGGAATAACAGCTGAAACCATAAAAATCACTGGAGACCTGGGAATACGAATATTTCTGAATATATGCCGTAAAATCTGGCAATCTCAATAGTGACTGTAAGAATGGACAGAATATATTCATTCCATTCTACAAAAAGGATTCTAGAAAGAAATATGAAAACTACAGACTTATAGCCTTAATGTAAGTAAGATTATGCTGTACATATTTCATGCGAGGATCAGGTCTTTTCTAGACGATTAAATACCTCCAGAATAAGCTGGTTTTGTAAAGAGTAAGAGCACCCGTGAACAGATTCTTAATATGAGGCAGATCATTGAGAAAGCACGGGAATTTAATATATAAGTCTATCTGTGCTTCGTGGATTATCGGAAGGCGTTTGACACTATCAGATGGCCCCATTTCTGCAGGATCCTGGATGAGATGGGGGTATCTCAGCATCTGATAGTTCTTCTTAAGTCTCTATATGAGAATAACAAAATGAGAGTGCAAATAAAAAACAGATCTTCCAACTTCCATGTTAGGGCCTGGTGTTCGCCAGGGATGTATTCTTTCACTTATATTTTTCAACATTGTGGCGAATATGCTATGAGTCATGCTTTGGACGACTGGATGGAGGATTCTCCGTGGGAGGATATACGAGGGCAAGTCAACAAATTTTTAGAAAAACATAGTAAAATACATTTTTTTTTATCGATTCATTTTTATTTCTCAACATAATCTCCTTTCAGTTCGATACACTTGATTCAACGATTCTCCAACTTTTCCAAGCAGTCCGAATAATATGATTTATCCAACCCTTCAAAATAAGCCTCTGTTTCGGCGATGAGCTGCTCTCTGATGGTGAATCTCTTTCCTCCAAACCATTTCTTTAGGTTTGGAAACAGGAAATAGTCGCAAGGAGCTAAATCTGGCGAATATACTGAATGGGGAAGCAATTCGTAGCGGAATTCGTTGAATTTGGTCATGAGTGCCGAGCACGTATACTAAACGTTTTGACTCGATCAGTCAAAACAATATCGTGGACTTTATCGATGATTTCTGGCGTAGCAGCCTCAATTGAACGTCCCGAACGAGGGCATCACATGTGGATGTATGACCACATTAAATTTATTCACCCAATTGTATACAGTCGCAAACGCTGGTGCAGATGTGCTATAAACATTATCCAACTCGGGTTTGATTTCTTTTGGCGTTAAACCTTTCATATGTAGATGTTTGATTACTGCACGAAATTTGTTTTTTTCCATTTTGCAAAAAATACAAAGATTAATCGCAACTACAGAAATGGAACCACGCGATAAATTCTGCTCAAAATTTGTCAGTAATCAGCTGAAAGATGCAACTTGTCAAAAAGTAATGTGACATGACACTGCGAGTGCCTCTGACAGATTTTTTAAAAACTTATTGACTTGCCCTAGTAAGTAAAGTTAGCAATTTTAAAATTAAGATATGCTAATGATACTATTTTGATTACCACTTTAAAGGAGGAATTGGACGAATCGTGACTGCTAGCCAGGAAATAGGACTGAAATTGAATCAGAAGACCAAAGTTATGATCATAGATAGGAAGAATAACAATAAACCAGACACTAAGTGGATCGCGAGATGTGAAGTTGTCTCGAGATTTGTATTTTTTAGTGCGGTTTTATCCAGATGGTGGTATCAGAAGAGATATGTAGATTATGATTTCGGAGACGGATTGAGATTTCTAAGGAAGCTATGTCCCGACTCATAAAAATATGGAGAGATAAACAGATATCAATTAAAACCAAGAGGAGATTGGTACAATCTCTTTTATTTCCTATATTCATGTACGAAGCAGAGATGTGGACGGTCTTGAAAAGGGATTGAGACTGTATCAAAGTTCTTCGAGATGTGGTGCTGGAGATGTCTTTTGAGGATCCCATGGATGGCCAAACGAACGAATGAGTCAATTCTGAATGAGTTGGAGATTCGAACTCGACTAAACTCGTTGGTCTCGGATCGTATTCTTCGGTATTTTAAACATATAATTCGACTGAAAGATGGACTCGAGAAGATGATTGTAGAGGGTAAAGTTCGTGAGAGGCGTCCGCGTGGGAAATGATGGGTAGAATAGGTGAAGGCACTGACTGGTGACCTCCCTAAAGAGACTACAATCAGAACAATGGATAGAAAGGAATAACGCCTCTTCGTAAGAGAAGCCATATTACATATGGACATCTCGCTCATGAGGTAAATGACTTAGAGAGAGAGAGAGAGAGAGAGAGAGAGAGAGAGAGAGAGAGAGAGAATAATGTATGTAGTAGGGGAGATCGAGATCAGTTGAATATAGGAGTAAGTAGAATAATCGAGGCTACATTAAAAATAAAACACGCGAGACACGCGTAAACGTGTCTGAGCACACAGCAGCGACTGCCGCTAAAGTTTGCTGTAACATCTTGTTGCGAATATATCTATGATAGAAGTTATGCCACAATTTTAAAAAATCATACATCTAAGTAATTTTTATTCTTAAAGTTTTTGTTTTACAATATATCGTATATGATTGTCTGAGATATTTGATTTTTACTTAGATAATAAGAGCAGTTCTTACTTAATAAAGCCCAATAGATTTTTTTTGTTTACATGCTTTGTCATCGTATATTGTTAATGTTTCTAAAAAATTAATGAACATAGTACTCAACATAGTACACTAATCACTGCATAGAACTGTATGACTCATTTAGTAACTTTTATAGTACTTATTCAAAATTTTATTCCTTTAAAGAGATTTTCTTCAGTGGTAAATGTTATAAGTTTAGTTCCTCATGTTAAATTTCGAAAACTAGGCTTATTTGTTTTTGCACGAACTGAACAAATTTGGCAAAAAAAAGTATTGTTTTATTCTGCGAAACGAATGTTTGTGTTTAAAATATATTTTTATAAAAGTTTTATTAATATGTAGCCAAAGATGTGGTTTAAAATACATTAATCTTTATTTTAATAATCTTAGAAATTTTCTCGAATTACCTCGGTCCCGGGGCTAATTAAATCAGATGGAATGCATTAGAAAAATCCATTTTTTTCATATTAGTTATCAGTTTCCCCTTATTAAAACATTATTAAAATATTATTAGGTAATCAAATGTATATAGTAATGGGTAGAATTCATTTTTTTTATAAGTCTCTTAATTTTGTCTGTAAAAATTCGAAACTGAAAAATGAGTCTATTAGCTCCGATCTCCCTTAACTGGTGTAGAATTATCTTCTTGATAAGTCTCTTAATTTTGTCTGTAAAAATTTGAAACTAAAAAATGATCTACTTGTCTCTATGGTCTCCCCTACATAATTATGTATAAGCAATATTTCATCAAACATGATTTTTTTTGAAAAATAAGTGATTAATGCGAAAATTATTCTGTTAATTACTTCTTTTTATGTTTTTTATTATTATTATTACTTTTATTAGACTAATTTTACAAAAGAAAGAAGCATGTATAAACATGTATGGATATATTTCATATAATATTATAATGTACTCGTAATATTGTTTATAATTATAAATAATCATACATATTTGTGTATATTCATGTGTATTTATAAATATTTATGCATAAAAGAATATTTTATTGAATAATATTTTAGCAATATTTCTGCTAATTGCATTATAATACTGAAATGAAAAAGTAATACTGCTATAATATTGCTGTAATACTACGTGCTAGTGGTATACTAGGTGAGTGATATATTAGGAGCTATTGTACATTCTTTTATTATAAAGAAGTTCGTGTTTTTATGTAACTCAAATGTATATAACTTCAAGTGAAATTATTATTTTGATAATTATAAATTGTGTAATAAATTAATAAATAAATTCATAACAAGTAATAATTACTTATTTATGAGCAGTACGAAGGTGTATTTAGTACAATGATCTTTCAATATAATTCTGAATATTATAATGTGAAAAATAACATATAATAATAATAACGCTTCACAACAATTCTTCATAATTGTGTGTGCGTGTGCGCACGCGCGTGTGTATGTATACTATTCATATATTAATCAGCACAATCATTTAATTCAATGTAATATATTGAATACATCCATGTTATGTGTCAATTTTTATCAATTCGTAACAAAAGAAAATTTTAATACATTATTCCATAGAATATATATAATACATTTATATATTTAATATTTTTAACACTTATTTGTGTAACAAAAATCGATAGATAACATTTCCAAATTAAATTTTACGCCATACATTTTTGCCTCTAAAATTGTTAGTCGGTTTTTATGAACTGCAGCCAAAAAATGTCTCTTTCCTAAATTATTGAAATTTGTCACTTTAAAGTTGTATAACTTATCAACTTTTATTTGTATAATATTTCGATGCACAAAACCTTCGATACCTTGAAAACAGTTTTTAAAATGTAACAATTATATTATTTTATGAATACAAAAAATATCTTTTTTCTTTAATTTCTTCTATTTTTTTTTCATTTTATAACATAATTACCTTTATATTCGTACACTTGGATAATATCATTATTTTCTACGAAAATAAGTAATGTTCCGAGGAATCCATCGAAATTTAAAACCAAAAATGATTTTGGTTGACGTGCTTTTATTGTTTGCAAAATTTTTGTTTGTGAAATGTCATTTTTGCACAACTAGATAAAAAAAATAATGTGATTAATACGCTATATAATACAATTACATAACACATAATAATACAGCAAAAGTTTCAGTTTTATGGAAAGAAAATGTTTTTTTGTAATATTATCCTATTACAATAATAAATAGCAATTATCAAATTATAAAATAAGCTACATAATAAAATGAAAATGAAAATTATATTTAACTCACATATATATAATCTTGGCTGACTTCTTCATTGTAATGGATGTACTCTTCTTTTTTATTACCTACTTTAAAAGTCAATACGTTGCCACAACCAAGACAATTTTTTAAACGTGTATCGTTTAAATGTATATCGTTTAAAGATCTTTCTTGTAAATCATAAGATAGAGATTGATTAGTTAGTACAATAGGATCGTTTGAAACCAAATTTAATGTCTCATTTTTGTACGAGATAAGAGTCTTTATATCCAATTGCATATTAGATGATGCAATTTCAAGATTCTTTTGAATCATTGCTATAAATCCATCTTGATATAAATTCATAACGTCTGTAGCATTACCAAGTTCTAATACATGCTATGAGAGAAAAAATAATTTGAAACAAATTAGCAGAATTAATTATTATAAGAAGAAAGTACTTATTTTATAAATATTTTTTATCTCCGTTTAATTGAGAAATTTTGGTTTAATATATATTTTGCGTATATTTTTTTTAATTTACACGTGTGCCTACGCATTATAATAAACTTACCACCATTGTATTATTTTCCAATTTCCATAAATTGTTAAGACTTCTACCACAGGTTCGTTTTGCGGTTGTAAGCAAGTATAAAACGCGATTTAATTTAAAAAACATCCATTGATTAATTAATCCAAAATCGGATACTTCATCGATCACTTGAAAATTATTTTGAGTATATAATAGAAGTTTTATATGGCAAATGTTGTAATTTATTAACATATAATCCATATCATTTATTTCGACAGTATGAATGTTATGAATATCTCCATCAAATTCTTGGATTTTTAAATAATCAAACGTGTTAAATTTATATATCTGTTTTATAGCATTGCATTTGAGTATATCCAAGTGCAATGCACATACGTTATTTAAATCCTTCTGTAAAAGATAAAATTATATTTAGAGCATAAACAAGTAAGAGTGTTGGATTCTTGTACAGAACAAATTTAATAATGTAATGTTACTAAATTGCAAAGAAATCAATATTAATTTTTAAATCTGATAAGATTCTTATTCTTATTATTTAATAAAATTTTTATTGTCAATATTAATTTATTTTATTATAAATACTATAATTTTTTTACATATGTTTCCTCGGTAATGTGATCTATTTCAGGATGTTCTCTTGTTAACATCGATGATGTGTCAATGATATTAATTTCACTCAAAAATTTATTTCCATCAACGTTCTTTTCAAAATAGACATTTCCATGCACTCTCCATTTTCCAGATATAATCTGTTTTGTTTCGTTCATCGTCTTCATTACTGCTCTTTGCCAATTAATTGGGTTTATTCTGTTTAGAAGACCCAAAACCATGAGATTTTTATCAAGGATAACTGGAGTTTTGAACATAAAATTCCCTAAACAAAAGTTATGTAAATATATTATTTAAATTATTTTTTATCGTTAAAGTTTAAACAAAGATTATTCAAACGTATTCATGCTGAGTGCTATTAAACACTGAAAGCTGATTCGTACAATGTAAAGTAAAAAAAGGTGTTGTATGCACGTGGTAGGCATTTAAACGGCATTTGCAAATTTTACGGCATTTATAAAACTGATGTAATTGAAGAAACAATTCTCGTTGGTTTAAAATTATTGATTAAATGAGCATTGAAATTATGGTACGCATAAATGTTTCCTTGTATCTTTATATATCCTGTAATATTCTGATTACTATATGTCTGTAAAAGAAATAAATATAATTTTATTATAATTTTAATTTTAACATTAATTATGCATGGAAGAAACAAAAAAGAGACTGAAATAGTATGTACGTCTAAATAATCTGTATTATTTTATTGGAACATCTTCAATATCTTATGTTTTATTTGCTAAATTTATTCCAAACGATAAAAGTTTTATTTTAATTTTACGTTCATTATACCATGAAGGTGTCCGCATAGATATCTTCTATATGGTAGGTGTTAATATGTCCTGATATCTGAATGTTTCTAACAATAATATTAGTACAATTAAGTTTATCGATCATAATAAACTGTCGCATATTTAATAAAATCAACAGATTCATTTGTAAGTCATTGACCTGCATGACTTTTATATTTGTCTGGAAAGTCACATTGTGGAGTGTTATTCGTGCTGAAATGAAAAACAAAATACTTTTTCCTATTAAGTTTCAAAATTAAGTATTTAATTATTTGCGATGATGCATACTTTAGTAATGTTATTATTAATTACAAATAACATATATAATATATTATAGTTATATATCATTTACATTAATTGCTGTAAAAAAAGAGAAATTGTAAAATTGTGTAACAAACTTTTATAAAAAAAAACTATATTGTGTAGAATAATTTAAATTGATTGAAAGGAAAAAATTTTGCTATAAATTATTTTATAAATACATATAATTTTATAAATATATATAATTTTACAAAATATTAAATTTTTTACAAAATATACAAATTTTTTGCAAAGCTTGCAAATAATTTAATTTTATGAAAATATGACCTTGATTACAAATCGATGATTATTGATTTGTATATTTTTCTTCTAATTTATTTTTATTATTTGTCACTTCTGAATGAAGAAGCCTGAAGTTATTATTTATTTGCTTTTATGATCATACATATATATTATATATTTTCAGGGCTCGGTAAAATAACTGATGCGACTTATTTAAAATAAAAGATATAAAATAACTTCCAGAAACGTATTTAAAATATAAAATTGTAGGAGTTGATAAAATTACTGATACGACTTATTTGAAATAAAAAATATAAAATAGGTTTCAAAAACTTATTTAAAATATTAAATAAGGAATAGATCACAAGAAATTATTTAAAATATAAAATAAGAAATAGGACCCTAAAATACATTTATTTATTTAAAATAGAGAATAACTTTTATTTAAAATATAAAAATAATTTGTCTTTTATTTTAAATAAGTTTTCGAAGGCCATTTCTTATTTTAAATAAAAAATAGATCTCGGAAACTTACTTAAAATATAAAGTAATAAATATGTATTTTAAATAACGTTTCAAATAGTATTTAAATAAAAAATATTTTAATGATTTTGTTTATTTAAATAATAGAAATATGAATACATTTCTAAATATAACGTTTCAGTTTTTTTATAACTACGGCTTATAATTGATATTTAGTAGTATTAATTCTTCGTGAACCAGGTGGAAATTTAACATGGATCATACGTGGGTATATCTCATACTTCACACGTGCAATACTTTATCATAAATATACTATAATTTAATTATTCACTGTCACTTTTACCGACGGATTGGTAACTGATACAATTTATTTAAAATAAAAAATATAAAATAGGTTCTAGAAAATTATTTAAAATTCATAACCGATAAAAAAACTGATACTATTTATTTAAAATAAAAAATACAAAATAAATTCCAAAAACTTATTAAAAATATTAAATAAGAAATACGTCAAAAGAAGTTATTTTAAATAATAAATACTAAATAACTGTTTAATTTTTTTTATTTAAAATGTATATTTTAAATAAATTTATTTTAAATAAATTTATTTGAAATAAAACCGAGCCCTATACATTTTTACTAATACAAAAAAAAATCGATAATTACCTGGAAAAGATTTAGGTTTATTAAGGGCAATAACATTCTCCTGTAAGTCTTTCATATCAACTTCCATAATGGTATATGATTGTAATTTATTTTTTACTACGAGGTTTTTTCGTAGATAAATATTTTCTCTGAACGTAACTTTGGTATTAATTGCGAAAGGTTTATTGATATAAACAACATTTTCGTAAAATCTATATAAATCTAAATTGTTTAAGCTGCCGTCGATGTTAAATGCATTATTAAATGTAACTGAATTTTTAAATAATTTTAGTCCAAAAATTGTAACATTTGTATCATTTTTAAAGATCATGGTCTTGAAGAAACTGTTTAACATTGATCCTTGAATCGATCCACTTACGTTCAATCTTGTTATAGAAGCAGTCTCAATGAAGTAAACATTACCACGAAAAGTATAAGAATTATCCTTATCTTTTAACCTATTTGTGAAATCGCTTAAAAAAACAGAATTTCCAATCTTGCCAGTTGTATTAAAATTTCTTCGAACCGTGACTGAGCCTCAAAGAAAAAGAAAGAAATTAATTTTGTTATTATAAAAAGACTACAAAAATAAAAAAGAAAAGATTAAGACAAAAACATAAATAAATAATTATAAAATATTATAGATAATTATATATATAATCAGTAAAAGTTTAAATAAACATACAAATAAATTTTAATCTTCTAATGATGTCATTAATTTATATATACTGGAGAATGAAAATAACTCGTTACTTATAACACTGTTACCGTTACTGTTAAATTACTTTTTCTGGTAACGAACTGATAACGATGTTACATTTTATATTGTAACTGTAACGTAGTTACATTATTTTGGTAATAGTAATCAAAACAGTTTCTTTTTACCGTTTACAGTTACTTTTACCGTTATTTTTTATATTTTTAACGTATGACATAATTTTGTATATATTTAATTTTTGGCCGGTATTCATAATTCATTCTTAAAGATTTTAAGTAATGCCTTAAGAATCTAATATGGCACTGTGATTGGTCTATGATATTTTAAAAATGACCAATTAATAATGACAAAGCTGTATTAATGTAAGAACAAACTTTATGACTAACAATCTTTGATGTCATGTACTACTAAAATTTATAATTAAAAATTTCACTTTTTAACAGCAGATTGTGTTTTAAAACCAAAAATTTAATTGACGCGTCGTTTATAGAATCAGACATGTATACAGAGTGTTTCATAATTCATCAGGGTTTGTGGATAGGTAGAGCGGACTAAACTGAGATGGAAAGTCCTCTACATTTTACAATTTTCGCAATAGTTAACGAGATATTATCTTAAAAGATCACCGAATATGCGCGTTCGTCTGGTCTACTACTCAAGTGTGTGCCCATTGCTAGCTCGGTGCGGGGGCCGCGGGGAATAGAAATGGCCTAACAAGACTTGAGAAAATACGGTATTAAAAAATTCTGAAAAAATTTTGAAAAAATTTTTAGAGCTCTATGAGAAGAAAATAAACAATTTTTGTCTCTTGCAGTGTTTTGTCTTTTCTGTAAAGTTGATAGATTTGAGTAAAAAATTATTGAAGATCAATTTTCGACAATTTTTAGTAATTAATATCTTGTTTACTATTGCAAAAATTATTAAATGTAAAGGACTTTTCTTCTCAATTTAGTCCATTTTGCTAATGTGCGAAAGATCTATTGTTACTTATCAAACTCATTGTACATACATCTGGTATATATAGTATATCTGGTTCTAAATTTTTTTTAATGGGAAAGATATTTTTTACTTATTCTACCGATGGTATTCGATGGTAATGAATGAATGAATAGTTTTCCATTAAAGTATCTTTTCAAAAATTCAATTATTGTCGAGATATAAACTAACATAAGTCAAACTGAAGGTTTAAAACAAACTTTTTATTATTATAATAAATGTTCAAAATGTTCGCCATGTTGATCTAGACATGCCTGTAGTTTTCATGAAAAGCTTGCTTTTTCTAATCTTGAATCGTTATATCGCAAAAAATATTTTTTTATTCTTTTCTCCCGAAGCGATAAGACGTTGAAAGTAAGCTAGCTCTTTCACTAAAGATAATAGGTCAGGTGTTCTCACAGGGAATAATGCAAGATCATCTCTACCAATGTATTTGTTTGAGAAGGTTCTGTTAAGCTCTCGTATCTCAATCAACATAGTGAATAGTTTATCTTGGCTAGTTTATTTTGGCTTATAACCTACAATAGTTGCTTATTTTGGCTTATACCCTAATAGTTGTATTTTCGAAAAGATACTCTAACGCAAAGTTATTCAGCTCATTGAGCACTCGATAAAACGAGTAAAAATACCTTTGCTATTAAAAAAAATTTTTTTATTGATAATATGAAAATCAAGGATATTTAAGATTACTCACACGGAAAGAATTATTTCTTATAGTTTACCCTGAAAATATGATAATTGGGGGACAACATTTGTATTTCGAAGAATTTTGATATAAATCTCTCTTATTCATCAATAAAATATAATAAAGTATAAAATAGGTTTGATTAATTTTACTGAAGTGCATGGTAAAAATATTAAAAATATTGTATTGTACCATAACTACCATATTTTCAGGATAGATTTTAAAAGAAAATTCTCTTCGTGCAAAAAGTCAAAGTAAGGCCCCCTATTTATCCTACAACTTTGAATAGATATCTTCCCTCTATCTTTAACTGTTTTCACACACGCACGCACGCACGCACGCACACGCACGTACGCATACACACACAACACACAAACACACACACACACACACACACACTCTCATTCTGAAATATTAGATATGTATATACAAAACTTATTAGCTCATTCCGAAAAATCATTTCGTTTCTTACAATTAGTTACGTTTTTACGTTCTATATCAGTCTATTGTTATTATTGTCATTATTGTTTATTGTTATTATTATTATTTACAATCAGAATGAGATTATTTACAACCATTTTATGAGGTCAAATAGAATTTATTGTTATTATTTTCTAGTTATCATAATCAGAAATTATGCTTGGCCTCGCCAAAATGCCGAAATGTTTCTGGTTAGATCTTCTTATTGGCTTATTGGCAGCTTAACTGGACTGTTTTTCTCTGTGATAAGCAAACAATATTGTAAAATATTTTTTAAACTGATCTTATTTTAGCATTAAAAAATAACAGAAAAGTAACAAGTCAGTACTTTTTAAATAACGGTAACAGTAAAGATTTTCTTGTGAGTACCAGTAGCTAGTAACGGTAACTAATTACTTCTAAAAAATATTTTTCCATTCTTTGTTAACTACGATAGCAATAAGTTAAAGTGTATATATATATAATATATATATATAAAGTTTATATACATTATATATATAAGTACATTTAAAAAATATTATTTTGTTAATTTTACAATAAGTACATTATAAATATATTTTTAAGTGTCATTAATAATATAAAAATGCGAATATATTTGAAAGATTACTGTAAAAGACATTTGTAAAAGACTTCTTAACAGGTTTAATATATGCAACATACCATTTATGATAATTGGCCCTTTTAGCATCTGCTTTTCATTTAGATCCAAAATATGGTTTACAAAATGTTTATTTATAAATTGTATTTTTAAAAATTCGCATGTAATATTATTCAATGTTTTGCGATCCATAAATGTAATATTTCTATCGACTTTCTGAATAGCATCAGTGATAAACATAGATAGATTCAAATTGTTTATAAAGCCAATTACTTTCAAATTTTCAATCGATACATTTGTATTGAAAATGACAGTCGCCATGTTATATTCCTTGTAAATATCAATAATATTATTGTTATTAATTGAAGATGCCATTATAATTCCTGTCACTTCTAAATTTTTTATCGATGCATTTCCGTTGAAAATGTTATTATAAGGTAATTTTGCGGGTGTTGAAAACAAATTCCACGTATTCAAAGATATTGCGTTAATAATTTCTGCGTCCAAGATGTCAGTTTCCAATTTGTCTATTATTAAAGCACCTGTTAGATTCTGCTGCGTATAGGATGTTAACACACGGTTGACCAAATCAATGTAGTTGATTCTATTGATTGTATTAGGCAAGATCTCATCGATCATTAATGTTGAAATCGTTAAATTCTCGAAATATACTTGTTGAAAAGTTTTATTTAATTTATCAAAGAAAGTAATTTGAGAGATAGTCTGTTTTATAGTATCAAAAGACAAATTATCGATAATAAATGATTTAACAAATAACAGTATTTTATTAAAACAACTAGAAGTTATACTTTGTTCGTAGATTATATAATCCTCTAATTTCTTCATGATGCCAAGAGTAACATTTTCAAACATGACACTTGCTGATATTTTTGTCAAATCTGAAATTAATAAAGTGAGATATATTGATGAAATACAATTTTTATAGAAAATTTTATACAAACTACATAGATTAGCGCAACTTTATAATTATTAATAAAATAAAATAAGACAACGGATTAATGGGAATTGGTGCTGTAATAATTGCGCTATTATTATCTTTCCATAAACATTTTGGCTAATTTTTTAGCCAAAATTCATTTCATCAATATCGAATTAAAGAAAGAACATGAAACAATTTGTCATATGCACAAATAAACTAAATATATTATGAGGCGATCCATCACTCTCCCATATGCAATCCCATACCAATTAGACAGCTAGATGGTGCCAGTCGATTGATTGATCTTCAAAGACAAACATGGTCAGGAATTTTTAATGATGAAATTAACATAGAAAAGTGATTAACTCATTTTCTATTGTTGATTTATAATTATTTTTAAACTATTCAATATATTCAAGTAAACCTATACTAAAAAATAATTCATGAAATTTGAATAAATATTTGTTTAGATAGTACGAATAAGACCATTTACTTACAATAAATAAATATTTATTCAATTAAAAAGAATTACACTTAATAAGTATTATGTTTTCAAATCGAATAAATATTTATTTTCTGTAAGCAAATGGTTCTATTGGTGTATTGTCTAAATATTTATTCAAATTTCGTTAATTATTTTTTCACTATGTGTATGTTATCTATAGATTAGAATTTTTTCATTTCTCAATTCTATTATAGAAAGGAAAGATGTATATTTTTCACAAAATGTGTAATTCCTTTTTTGTAACAGCTTTATTATATGTAGATAAAAAATTTGCCTTTTTAATTTTAATAATTTAAAATCTAATAGATAATGTTTACAAACTTTTAGATTATACTATACTTACGAGGAAACTGTTGATTAGTATTTAAGGTTACGAATTCTGAAAAAATGTGATTATTAATTCGTCTGGATTTAATTGTTGTCGTAGATTTTACGTTGACGTCATTCCAAAATCTTTTATTTCCAATAATTACTGCATTTTTTTCAGTTTTTAATAAAAAATTGTCAAGATCTGACCACGTTTTAGTATTAATTGAATCTTTGAGTACAATATTTCCCATAATGATCAGATTTTCAAAACTAATATCTGATAAAAGCCTATTGGTTTCGTTAAGCAAATCCTCTATGCCGCTTGCATTAATGCCTATTATATTTCCGTATATATATATATATATATATATATATATACCTAAAAAAAATTGTAATATACGATTAACTAATCGTACCTGGAAAATTCCATCAATTTCTAGATCTTTAAACATAATTTCTTCATTAATAATTTCATGTCTGTTGAGAATAACAAAATCATTAATATCAATTTTATTTATTGTCTTGATGGTTAACAAATGTTTCGTAGACAAGTTAACAAAGTGCTTTTCACCCGTGACATTGACAGAAAATTTATTTAGTCCATTCATTAGAACGTAATTTCTTGGATATTGCAAATAATTCAGATTTTTGACATTAGCTTTTTCGGCGACAAGCTGTTGAAAAAAATATTATCTTTTATCGAAAAAAGAAATTACAAAGATTTAACAATAAGATTGAAAACAAGACCGTTTATGTCAAATATCATTACTCTAAGTACGAAGCGCTACTACGGTCTGTGAGTGTTGAGATGTTGAACTAATATATATATATATAAATGAATTAATTTCAGAAATGATAATTACGTGCCGGTTGTCGGACTTTCAACGCAATCAATCTGAAATATTAATAATCCCCCTAAATTTCTCAAATTAATATTAAAAAACTGTAATAAACTTATTGCGAAAAATATTGCCTCGGCCTAGAGTCGAATCCGGATCTCTTACATTCCGTGCGAGCGTCCTGAGCCTTTAGACCACCGAGACCTAGGTATTTTTCGTAATAAGTTTATTATAGTTTTTTAAAGTCTCGGTGGTCTAAAGGCTCTGGACGCTCGCACGGAATGTAAGAGATCTGGGTTCGACTCTCGGCCGAGACAATATTTTTAGTAGCGCTTCGTATTTAGAGTAATGTTATTTGACAAAGATTTGGTACACACAGAATGTCAATAAAAAATGATACAATCGGTGATTTTTTATTAAAAAAACAAGAGAAAAAAAGGGTATATAAATACTTCTTTTATTATTGCGTTAAAGGCATTCTAGTTTTATACGTATACTAGCTACTTTTTTCGAAAATGAACTATGAATACAATATTAAACCGTGTATACAACATTACTTATTTTCTTATAAGAGAAAATTTGTTTTATTATCAAGATTTATATTGGACAATTTATTTAATTCTCAAGGATAATATTAAGTTATATAAAGATTATGCGTTTCGCGCAGGTTTTCTCTGTGTCCATTCTTGGAATATCAACGTTTCTTGAATCTTGCAGTCCATTCATACTCCTAGTATCAGGCTGCTCCTCGCCCTGATAAAGTGAACTGCAGATTTACAAAACGTTGGCAAAAATAGATTTGGACACGGAAAAAATCCGCGGAACACATAATCTTTATATAGAAAGGCTTCCACCCGTGGAAGCTTCAAGAATAATATTAATAATATTAAGTTGTTTTACCCTTTCCGCAATTGTCTCTCCAGAAATAATTGTCGATTCATCTTTCCAAACTATATTTTGTATCTGCTCCTTCCATTTGATATTATTTATTACGGAAAAATTCAAGTGCCCATCAATTTTTAATCTCTTTAATATTGAAAAATTTACGTCACTATAATTTTTTATTTGAAAATCGAACATGATTTTCTCCAGCGGTATGCCATTTAAAGAGAAAATCGTTAAATTATTAGTGTCAATAGACGAAACAGATTTCTGAACGTTGATGCGATTTGCAATACTGTTTTCTATGATTGAAGTTGATGCGTTATTAATAAAAGCCGCAATTATATTTTTCGTATATAGTGTACCATTCACCGAAAAATCTCCGTTTAATTCAACATCTGGCGGTAAAGTAATTTTTGTTGAATTAGTCATACTTTTCAAATCTGATAACATTTGATCAAGCTTTGTTTCTAATTCTTCTAATTTCTCTATATTTGATGTCACGTTTATCAATATGTCTTCTATTTTCAAATTGATCGAACCAACTTTGACAGCACCATAATGTACATGACCTTCAAGTATAGCGTTCGATACATTTACTTTTGAAAGATTCCAAAATCCTGTTATCACATTCTTAAAGTAACTTTGACTGAATTGCGTATCAGCCTCATCAAAGATAGCTTCTTGTTTTCGAAAAATTTCCTGAAAATTTAACAAAAATAATTCAGAATATGCGCGCGCGCACGCGCACAGCATACAAAATCTTTACATATATTCATAAAAATGTATCTTATATATCTCTCTCTCTCTCTCTCTCTCTCTCTCTCTTTCTCTCTCTCTCTCTCTCTCTCCTTCTCCTCTCCTACATCTTATATAATTATGTTTTACATTAGGACAGAATAGAAGTAACGTCTTGAACTTCTAAATTCAAGTAATTGTAATTTCGAAAAAAAATGAATTAAGTTTAAATAAAAAGGGGTTTTATATATAAAGTTAGAATCTTTATACTTCTGAAAGATCACTATGACTTTTCAGTTTTTGCGAGTTTAATAACTTTAGCATATAAGAAACTACGAGCTGAATAAAATAGGAAATTTCCTTTTTACTTTGTGAGTCTGTCAAAAAAACTTGCCAAAATTTTTGATTTTCTAACGTAAAAATT